AAGTTGATCACCGAAGAAGCACCACCGGTTATGTTTTCACTGTCGGGGCTACAACTTTTAGTTGGATGTCGCAGATACAAAAGATTGTTGCTCTATCCACTACAGAGGCTGAGTATGTAGCAGTGGCAGAAGCCAGTAAAGAATTGATATGGCTTCAAGGATTGTTAGCGGAGTTGGGTTTCACTCAAAAAGAGAGTGTCTTGCACAGTGACAGTCAGAGTGCGATACATCTGGCAAAGAACTCAGTGTTCCACTCCAGAACTAAGGACATTGACATACGATATCATTTCATCAGATCTCTGCTTGAGGATGAAGTGTTGACTTTGAAGAAGATTGTAGGAAGCAAGAACCCAACAGATATGCTAACAAAGGTGGTGACCATTGACAAACTGAAGTTGTGCTCAACTTCAGTTGGCCTGCTAAAGTAACAGACCGGAGAAGACTACTGCAGTAATTGAGGTGTGAGGACAGATTGAAATCAGTCCTCAAGTGGGAGATTGTTAATTCAGCCACCAAACTTGACAAAACAACAGCCTCACTTTCTTGAAAAATTGACAGCCGCCATAGCTGATCCTAAATTGCAGTAATAGCCCACATCTGTAGAAAATTGGAGTACACTTTTGTGGAAAAATTGTGCACTTCCCCCTCTATAAATTGAGGGGGATTCTGATGGAGAAAAAACCACAACAAAAATACAGCAACATTTCAAGAGAAAAGAAAGAGAGAGAGAGCTAAAAATAATTAGCCTTTGTGTGTATTTTTGAGTTGTGAGTTGTGAGTGGTTTCGAGAGTGTTTTGTAAACACGAGTGTATTTCTTTTTCCCAATAAAATATCTGCAGTAGTCCGGAGACGTAGGCATTATTGGCCGAACTCCGTTATCAATTTGGTGTGTCCATTTTTTTTATTTCACTTTTTCCGACTTCATGGAAATTTCAGCGTATTTTTCCCAACAGTGTCGTAGTGGGCTCTTCACGTGGCTGGGTGATCTGGTTTGATACCCTCAGCCAGAAACTATTCCTTTCCAATCCCCTCAAGCATCGTCACCTCGATCTGCCGCTTGCCCTACAGCCTGATCATCATAATATTCCCACCAATTCGGATGATACAAGAGGCGGCATAACCAGCATCATGATCTCCAGCCCCGACCCAGACACCGATCCAGAGTGTCGTGCCGTGATTATTTACGGCCCGCAGAGTAAATTGGCCTTTTGTTTCCCCGGGACCGCAGATGAGTGGACCCCACTCGGCCAGGGAACCGGTTATGCATCCTGCGTCTACTCAACTTCACAAAAGCTCTTCTTCTGCTGCTTCACAGATAAACTAGATGACGAAAGTACATGTGGTACTCTACTGGAGGCTTGGGATCTCGGGACCCGCTCTCTCCAAGGATGATCCCGATGGCTGTTTCAGTAGATAAGGACAATTACCCCGTGGCCTCCGACTCCGACTCGGAGGATTCGGAACGTAAACGACTCTGCAAGATCTACTTGTTCCTTGTAGTGGCGGAGCAGTCGGACGAGCTTTTCCACGTGAGGCGGTTCGTGGAGCATACGAAGGACGACGACCCTACAGCTCCATACACGACGGTCGGTTTTGACATTCACAAATACGAGCCGGAGACTGGATCGCTCGAGTACATGGACCGTTGCCCGCAGGGGCTGGCATTGTTCGTGGGCTGCAGCAACGGGTTTGCCCTCCCGACTGAAGACTACCCGGATGACCTGGAACGGTGCTTCGTGTACTACACGGCCCCACCACAGTGGATCGGAGGAGGCTACGACGTTGGCTTCTTCCACTGCTCGAGCAAGACTCTCCATCCATGCTTCTATCCATATGATGTCCAGATTTTGGAGAGGGTGACCAACCCGCCCATATGGTTTAGTCCGACTCCGCTGGTTCGACTCCCGTTTCTTATTAGGAAGGAAGGGGGCTGCCTCGGCTACAACATTGACCCGTCGTCTCCTTTGGGGCAGCCGCCCACCCGAGATGAGAGGGAGAAGGCGAGAAAAAGGAAGGAAGCATCGCGGGATACCTATAAATGCGTTTACTGTGGCTTCAAGTGTGACAGCAAAACCCACAACGGGTATCATAGTTTAAGTTACCACGCGTGTACTTGGCTTTGATTGATTCAAGACGACCAAGCTCGGGGTCCGGCCAGCGGGACATATCCAAGATCCATAATTATTCTTCTTACGTCCGTCTGTCAAATTTTTATATTTTACTTTTAGTACAACTATTTTTCCTAAATATTATTAAGGTTCACTTTGTTTTTCCATCGCGGCTCGATCGGGTATCAGCCTCTATGTTTGATTCACAGGTTTACAAGCCCAGAATATATGATTATACAAGTCATATTTGTCAAACATGTCATGTCCAGCCAAATTAAGTGGACTGACAACTTAATAATAAAAAAAAATGGAGCAGCATTAATTTATTGAATGATTGGTGGTTAGTTCACCATTATTGGAAAAAGAAGGAATCTGACAACTGTTTTTGTTGAATGTGCACTGCACTTCATTCCTATAAATAGGGAGGCATTCAACAGAAGAAAGTGCACCAAGCAGAAGAAAGAAAAAGAAAGAAAAAATAACATCTTTGAGTGTTATTATTCAGTGAGATAAAAATAGAGTGTTTGAGTAAATCATGTGAGTGTGGGAAAAATATATTGGGTTGGGTATCAACTCTATTACTCTTTGTTTAGGAGTGGGGTTTCACTGGGTCACTATATTCTACATTTCTAGTGTAAGGGAGTGTGAAAAGATATTGTAATTATCTTGAAAATATAGTGAAACTGTTCGGAGGTTGTCACGTGGTTTTTTCCTCTATTTGGAGGTTTTTCCACGTTAAATCTTGGTGTCTTATTTCTTGCATATTTTATTTATTTGGGATATTCTTAGTATGCTCTGTGGTCGCAGTTTAATCTGAACTTCCACATCAGAAAAGAATTATTCCGGTATTATTGCAAGAGATTTTCTTTTGTCATTCTTGAGTTGCTGGGGTTGGGATTATTGTTCACCATTTCACGTTAGTGATTTAATTTACATCTTCCGCATTGCGTATCTGAGCCCAACAAGTGGTATCAGAGATCAAGTCGGGCTCTGTATCGACCCGTGTAAATTAAATGGAGGAGAACGTGGGTAATGGTGAAGCTCACAGCAACAAATTACTCCATTTGGAAAAATGGAGGATATACTTTTCTACAAAGATCTATACGATCCTGTAGAAAAGGGAGACAACAAGCCAGATGACATGAAGGATGACGATTGGAAGAAATTACACAGGAAGGCTGTCAGTTTAATCCGACAGTGGGTGGATATCAGCATATTCTACCGTGTTGCCACAGAGTCGAAAGCCCATACTCTGTGGAACAAAATTGAACAAATGTACCAGAGGAAGACTGCACAGAATAAAGCTTTCGTCATTAGAAAGCTTGTGAATTTAAAATATCGGGATGGAAGATCAGTTGCTGAACACTTGAATGAGTTTCAAGACATGGTAAACCAGCTTGTTACCATGGAAATTAAACTTGATGAAGAGCTGCAGGCGCTGTTACTTTTGAGTTCTTTACCGGATAGCTGGGAGACTCTGGTGGTCTCGTTGAGCAACTCTGCCCCTGAAGGAAAACTGACTTTGACCCAAGTCAAAGACAGTATGTTTAATGAAGAAACAAGAAGAAAAGACTCTGGGGCAAGCAGTTCCCAAGCCCTGATCACAGAAACCAGGGGAAGAAGTAAAAGCAGAGGTCGGGATAACAAATCCAGAGATAAATCACAATCTCAACCCAGGAGAAAGTTCAAGTGTTATTACTACGGTGAAGAAGGGCATATCAAAAGAAACTGCAAAGCCTGGAATAACAGAGGTTTGAGGAACAACAAATCAGAGAACGGTGAAAATACCGCAACCTCTGTGATCAATGGGGAAGTGGTGTTGCTCTCTGTTGAAGAAGAAGAGTTTCATGTTGCTGATTCATGTGTTGAATGGGTCATTGACTCAGCAGCATCATACCATGCAACCTCTCACAAGGAATTCTTTTCTCTATACAAAGAAGGAGACTTTGGTAGAGTAAAGATGGGCAACAACAGCGTTGCAAATATTGTGGGAGTTGGTGATGTGTGCATTCAAACTGATATTGGGTGCACAATAACACTGAAGAATGTGCGACATGTACCTGACTTACGTATGAATCTGATCTCTGTGCATGCATTGGATCTAGCAGGCTATACTAACAATTTTGGTAACGGCACATGGAGGCTTACCAAAGGATCGTTGTTAGCTGCTAGAGGTATAGTGAGATCGACACTGTACAGAACTCAAGTTAAGCTGATCAAGGGTGGATTGAATGCAGTCGAAGATGATGCTTCGCCAAATTTGTGGCACAAAAGACTGGCTCATATTGGTGAAAAAGGATTACAAATTTTGGCAAGAAAGTCCCTCATCCCATTTGCCAAAGATTCAAAACTGAATCCTTGTGATTATTGTCTCTTTGGGAAGCATCATAGAGTGTCTTTCAGCAAAACCTCGAAGCTGAAAGAGAATGTGTTGGAGATGGTGTATTCTGATGTATGTGGACCCATGGAAGTGGAGAGTCTCGGTGGTAGCAGATATTTCGTGACGTTTATTGATGATGCTTCACGAAAATTGTGGGTGTATTTCTTGAGAACGAAGGGTGAAGTTTTTCAATACTTCAAAAGGTTTCATGCTATGGTGGAGAGACAGGCTGGTAAACCTTTAAAGTGTCTTCGCTCAGACAATGGGGGGGAGTATACTTCCCATGAATTCAAGAATTATTATGCCGAGCATGGCATCAGGCATGAGAAGACTGTACCTGGAACCCCACAACATAATGGTGTGGCTGAAAGAATCAACAGAACCATTATAGAGAAAGTGAGGTGTATGTTAAGAATGGCTAAACTACCTAAGCCATTCTGGAGTGAAGATGTTCTAACAGCGTGCTACCTGATCAACCGATCTCCATCTGTTCCTTTGGGCTTTGATATCCCTGAGAGAGTATGGTCCGGACATGATGTTAAATACTCTCATCTAAAGGTGTTTGGATGCAAAGCTTTTGCTCACGTAAGCAAGGAACAGAGACGAAAACTTGACGATAAAGCTATTCTTTGTATATTTCTGGGCTATGGAGATGAGGAATTTGGCTACAGGTTATGGGATCTAGAAAATCAAAAAAATATCAGAAGCAGAGATGTAGTGTTTCATGAGCAAGAAACTATGTCTGATTCTGCTTCACCAGAAATCAGAGAACCAAGTGGAAAGGTGGATCTTTCACCTGTCAAACCTCCTGGAGATGCCACAACAGGGGGAGAGTGTGATGGAGAACTCAGGGTTGATGATGAGACAGCAATAGAAGATGGTGATGGTGAAGGTGTTGAGCAGGAAAACCTCGAAGCTCCACCTCAGCTCAGGAGATCAAACCGAGCGATCCGACCATCTACGAGATACCCTAGTTCCACGTATATTACCATCACTGAAGAAGGGGAGCCAGAAAGATTTGAAGAAGTACAGACTCATAAGGATAAATCCCAGTGGATGAAAGCTATGCAAGAAGAATAACCCTTTGGCTGGAGGGGGAGAATTGTCATGTCCAGCCATATTAAGTGGGCTGACAACTTAATAATAAAAAAAATGTAGCAGCATTAATTTATTGAATGATTGGTGGTTAGTTCACGATTATTGGAAAAAGAAGGAATCTGACAACTGTTTTTGTTGAATGTGCACTGCACTTCATCCCTATAAATAGGGAGGCATTCAGCAGAAGAAAGTGCACCAAGCAGAAGAAAGAAAAAGAAAGAAGAAATAACATCTTTGAGTGTTATTGTTCAGTGAGATAAAAATAGAGTGTTTGAGTAAATCCTGTGAGTGTGGGAAAAATACATCGGGTTGGGTATCAACTCTATTACTCCTTGTTTAGGAGTGGGGTTTCACTGGGTCGCTATATTCTACATTTCTAGTGTAAGAGAGTGTGAAAAGATATTGTAATTATCTTGAAAATATAGTGAAATTGTTCGGAGGTTGTCACATGGTTTCTTCCTCTATTTGGAGGTTTTTCCACGTTAAATCTTGGTGTCTTATTTCTTGCATATTTTATTTATTTGGGATATTCTTAGTATGCTCTGTGGTCGCAGTTTAATCTGAACTTCCACATCAGAAAAGAATTATTCCGGTATTATTGCAAGAGATTTTCTTTTGTCAAGAGTTGCTGGGATTGGGATTATTGTTCACCATTTCACGTTAGTGATTTAATTTACATCTTCCGCATTGCGTATCTGAGCCCAATAAAACATATACGAAAAAGAAATCATTAGTCAACCACTCACCCTTTAAAGTTTAAACACCATAATTATGATGTAATATAAACAAATAATAAACAATAGACCACTGAAAGTAAGTAAAAAAATGATATTTCAATTAAAGACATGAAATTGTAAATGTAAGTTCATGTAAGAAAATGATAACATGTTAGATAACAAATTCAAGACTAATATTTAATAGTAGTATAACTTTTCAGTCTTTTCTCTAACAATTTTACTCTACTAAACTTATTTTTTCATATATACAACTATTACAACACCCGTGTATTACACGGGTGCTTGTTAAAAAATTATTCTTAAATCTTAAAATTAATGAGAAATCTATATTATATTTAGTTTACTTTTTTACAAAAAAAAAATATATTACTATATATTTTAGAATGATATGAATTTATTTTTCTAATTAAAATATTTTTTCTAATTAAAATACATTCTAAAATATTTTAGAATGATATCATTCTAAAAAATATTTTAGAATGATATGATTTTACAAAAAAAATACATTACTATAGTCTATATACTTGATATATTACATATGTAAAACTGATAAAAAATACAAAAGTTATTAACTTTTAATATATATATATATATATATATATATATATATATATATATATAATTCAATAGTTATAATAAGGAATGATATGAAAATGCAATTAATACATGTAACATGACCATAAATAATCAACATATTTATGGTAGTCCGAGCCTAATTATTTTTAGTTTGAAATTAAATTAAAGTTTATCCAAGCCTAATAACGAAACATGTAATTTTGCCACATAGGATTTCGAAGCAC